CGCTTATCACATGGAACTCCTGTGATACTTCTCCACTTCATCCCCGCTGCGTTACTCTACTGCTTATCTCATCGCGGAGGTTGCCATCTGCGGAGATACGGCTTCCCAGGTACTTGAAGGAGGTGGTCTTCTTGAGTTGCGTGTCTCCGATCTGGATTGTCCCGGGTGTCTGTGTTCCCAGTTCCATATACTCCGTTTTCGTCATGTTCAGCTTCAGTCCATGCATCTCAAGCTGATCCTTCCACTTCTGCACTTCCATCTGGAGCTCTCTTCTGCTTCTTGCCAGTAGGAGAACATCGTCTGCGTACATAAGCGTCCATGGTGGTTGTCGTATGAAGCCGTCGACCACTGCATCTATGACTGTGTTGAACAGGAGCGGTGAGAGTACAGAGCCTTGGTGTACGCCGGCTCGTATCTGGAATTCTTTCGTCGGTCCCGCTGCTGTCTGTACGTGGCTGGTGGCATTCTTGTAGATCATCTTCGTCCATTGCACGTACTCTTCTGGCACCTTGTGCTTTCGTAGTGCCCACCATATGATGTCGTGTGGTACCTTGTCGAACGCCTTCTCCAGGTCGAGGAACGCCGCATGTAGTTCACATTGTTTTTCCCTGCTTCTTTCTATCATTATTCTGGCGGTATGGATGGCATCTGTTGTGCTACAGCCCTTCACGAATCCACACTGATTGGGAGCTAGTTCTATGATGCTTCGGAGTCTTGTTTCTAGTATTCGTTCGAAGATCTTCAGCGTGTGACTCGTTAGACGTATGGGACGATATGTGGAACAATCGGCTATGTCTCCTTTCTTCTTCCATACTGGAATCGTTGTGCTTTTGGACCAATCGCGCGGCATCTTCTTGGATTCGATTATCCGATTGAGAAGCTGTGTTAGCCAAGTGATTCCAGCTTGTCCGCACCTCTTCCAGAATTCACTGGGAATGTCGTCTGGGCCGGTTGCTTTGCCGTTCTTCGTCTTCGCTATGGCTGCGCGAACTTCATCTTCTGTGATGTTTTCTACCGGTCCTTGTACCGTCTCAGCTACTATGGTAGATGTCTCTTCGTAACTTGTAGATGACACTTCCTCGAAGTGTGCTCGCCATCGTTCAGTTATCTCTTGTGGCCTTCTCAGAACTCTTCCTTGTTCGTCTTTGATATTGTAGAAGTGAGACATGTCTTCTGCGGCTTTTGCTCTTCTTCTTGCGATTCGGTAGATATCTCGCTCGCCTTCTCGAGTATGCAGCTTCTTGTAGAATTCTGTCATGTAAGCTTCCTTCGCTTCTCTAACGCTCTTCTTTGTTGCACGTTTTGCATCTACATATCTTTGATGGTCGTCTTCTGATCTTGTCTTCTTCCACAACTGGTACGCCATCTTCTTTTGCTTGATCACAGCTTGAACGGATTCGTTCCACCACCAGGTTTCTTTATCTAGTCTTGGTCTTCCCGGTTTCGTAAGCCCCAGTAGATTGCCTGCCATCTGATGAACGTTATTCTTCAGATTTGCCCAGGAACGCTCCGGTTCGTCTTCTAGGAGTGGTAGAGCTGATTCCATAGCAGCTTTGGATCGAGCGTCGTCTTTGAGCTTCCACCACTTGATGCGTATTCTGTCCTCCGTCATTGCCTTTCTTCGACTCTTGATTGGGATATTCAGATCTAGAATCAGTGGTCGATGTTGTGGTACACATTCTTCGCTAGGGATCACTTTGCAGTTCTTCACGTACTTGAGCTCCTTTAGTCGTACCGCCCAGAAGTCTATTTGCGATTTTCGATTTCCGCTGGCATACGTTACTAGGTGATCGCTCTTCTTGATGAAGTAGGTGTTTGCCAACGCCAATTCATGAGCGGAAGCGAACTCCAGAATTCGGTTGCCTTCTTCGTTGCGGATCCCATACCCGTGATTTCCGTGACTTCTACTCGCACCACTTCGTTGTTCACCGACATGGCCGTTAAGATCTGCTCCAATCAGTAGCGTTTCTTCTGAAGGTACACATCTGATGTAGTCATCTAGTTCTTGCCAGAAGCCGTCTTTCTCTTCTACCGTGCAACCTGCTTGGGGTGCGTATGCGGTGATTACTCGGAGAACTCGCTCACCCACATCTAATGTGATGCCCATGAGCCGGTCACTGAATCGATCTACACTTGTTATACTATCTCTTAACCGTTCGGAGATGACTATTCCGACGCCGTTTCTTTTGCTGCTTGTTCCTTTATATAGAAGCTTGAAGCCGTCTCCTATATCGCGTGACTTCTCACCCTTCCATCTGGTCTCCTGGATGCAGGCGATGTCTACCCTACGTCTTCCAAGAAGATCCGCCAGTTCTCGATGTCGCCCAGTAAGAGATCCGACGTTGACAGTGGCCAATCGAAGAGGAGAGAACTTGGATCGTTGATTGTTTCCATGATGAGCTAGCTTCTTCAGCCGTCCCCGCTCATCTTGTTGGGACGGTAACCCTCGCCTACTGTTCGCATCTGTCGGGCTCAAATGCGCGTCGCCTCCGGGGAACGCCCTAGCGTTTACTCGAGAATCCTGATTAGACATAAAAGAGCATTGTGATGCGACGGGGTTTCTTCTTCAGCCGGCTTGTCGCTTGCTTTCCTTTGGATCAGCAGCCTGGCGCTGGGATCGTGGGCAGAGCTGTTTTGCCAAAGAAATTAGGCCCGCCGCGGAACCGAACCTGTGACCTTCCTCGCCGTAGTCAAGGACACTAACCTCTCGGCCAGCTCTGCCCCTTTATGATGATGATAATTAAGTCAGGATAAATTCAGCAATGCATTCGAAATCCGCATTTGTTACTTTGCAAAAAAAAGTTCTTATTACCGATCTTACATAGAGTTGCTTCAGAAATGAACTGTTGCTTACAAACTATTTGTGATGTTCAGAATCATGCGGTGAGTTTCAAAGTCGTTATTATGCGGACACGAGAAAAACTTACGGGTAGCAGAGCAAGTGTTTTTAGCTTAGTTGGCTCTTGTTTAAAGTAAGGTATAGCCTTAATGGCTCAAAGCCCTCTTCAAAGCTCCTACTGTAATCTTACAATACTAAAAAGGAAACGTAGATCACTCCATACTGTAAATCAAAGTTGAGAACAAATCTGTAGAATGGTTGCACCAAAAAGCAATGGAGCAACACAGTAATAACGTTAAACAGCAGGGACAATTTTTGGGGATCTTCTATATGATTAAATCACATCAAACAGTACTAAACCTTCCAACGAGATGACCATATCATCACACTCTGCAGAACGCGTAATACAGACTTGAAAGTTAAGTGGGAGATGCACGTCAATACGATGAGTGGTAGATCAATGGCGGACCGAGGGGGGGGGGCGCCCCTCTTGACTTTTTTGTTCTTGTCAACAATTAAACAATTTTAAAAAATTTCTAAAAATTCAAATTAGCCTTGTAAAAAAATTTTCGGGGGCGTGGCTGAAATCCAAGACCGCCACTGTGGTAAATGTATGCCAACACATCAGTGAAATAATATGGAGCTTGCGCTGATGCCAATGAACAGCAAATCTCTTGATGCTGACTCTGAGCATTCAGCAATGCCTGTCTTCCTAGATGCTGATACCTAACATCATTGAGCCGGTAAGTATGTAAACTCCAAGCGCAAAATAAGCGCAATTGTTCACGTTTTCGCAACTAGGGACAGCGTACTTCAACTTGGCGTTTTTAGCCAATTCGATTTATCTTGCAAGTTACAGTGATTCCCATTCTGTTGTCAACTCAGTTTCTGCGATATTTCTCAATTTTTGCAAACAAACCTAGGCAAAAATAGAAATTCGCTCACTTTGCTCAGCCGTCTTCAGTCTATATATTATAACATTTACGTCTTTCAACGCAAATAGCGATTTTTATCGCCACAGTAACGCTCTTCCAGCAAGGGAATGGTTAGCAGTCGAAGTGGCCATCTCAACAAGGTGCCTTTAACTCTTTTCTGCTTCTCGTCATTGGTCACGTCATTTGCGTTTATTAGAGCCCATAAAGGTTGACATATGAAGCCTCTAACTATCAAATTCGCGATAGTTGAAGAGAGGGGAGATAGTACGGAGCCTTAAAATCCACGTTAGTTGAAGAGAGGGGAGATAGCATGAAGCCTTGACCAATTTCGGATTTCATCTAGAACTCTTCTGATGGTCTTGCTGCTACCTGCCGTAGCTTCCGGCATCTTTGTATATCATCTTGATCTACTGCTCGTATTCTTCCGGCACATGTGCTTTCGTAATAACCACTATATATTGTGCTGAGAAGATCAGCCAATTCGCAGTGTCATGCAGTGAATGATCTTACGCTGGTATGGCTAGAATTAACGCCGAGAAATCAGATATTCGCCTATGGTGAGCTAGCTTTTTAACCTTACTAAAATAGTGCTTGTCGGGTCCAAATGCATGTCTCCTCGGGAAGCGCGCCTTAGCTTTTTCTCAGAATATCTGATGAAACACATAGAACTTTTGATGCTACCGATTGCCTTTTTCGCTGGCTTGTCGCTCGCTCCCAATGAGCAGCCTGCGCTTTGTCCCTTGTGGGCAGAAATTTTTCGAAAAACTAGATCCGACTTGAAAACCAGCTCTTGAGCTTTCTCGCCGTAATCAATAGCACTAATCTATCGCTAACTTTGCCTTATTTTTCGATGTATAACCTTCAAAATAAGCTGATGAGCATGTGTAACTAACATAATCATATACTGTTAATAGTTTCCATCATAGGCTCTCATTTCATTTTCTTTCAGGGAAGTGGCTATCAAAACTTGAAAACCGCCTGATTGTGAGTAGGCGCCTTATCGCTTCTGCCGGTGATCTGACGAGATGGTGTGACTCCTGTCGCTGCAAGGAACGTTCTCTATTTAAGTTGTTTGAGGAGATTCGTCCGCTGATAACGAGCTATTGGGTTCTTCAGATAGTCCTTATCGTTTCTAGTTTTACACGGCTATTCCATAAAATGCTCTTTGAAGAATTTTGTGTTTTTGTGTTCCACGTTCATCGGAGGTATTGATGTTTTTCTTAGATATGAGCTTGGACATCCTATTTGGCGACTTTGACTATGAACGTGCGAAGGATTACTGCGCATCATTGGAAGGATTCTCTATAAAAGTAGCCATTTGTTACATGGTGACTATATTTTCTATCAAATATTACATGAGGGACAAAAAAGCATACGATTTGCAACTACCGCTAAATATTTGGAATTTTATTCTTGCCGTATATTCAGCTCTTGGTTTCTACTACACAGTTCCAACATTTCTTAGGGTAGTGTATAATAAGGGAATTACACGTAAGTAGCGAATTTGATCTTACGGATTCGAAAGCATATTTATTGGTACTTTAGATACTTACACACATATTTCTGAAGTTTACACTGATGAGACGGCAGGATATTGGGTACTTTTATGGGTTCTGTCAAAGTTTCCGGAATTAGTAGACACTATCTTCATAGTGCTTCGCAAACGACCTCTGATGCTTATGCATTGGTAAGTTGCTTACATATGTCATTTTTTTCGTTAATAGGAAAGAATAGCAGAAGACGTAGGAAAATGTAAAGAAAATGTTAATGCTCACTTTTTTTCTAAAATATTCCAACAAATATCCCAACGATAAAATTTCAAATCCCAACAAAGCGTGCTGGAACTTTTGTATCCTAATTCTTCTGCAGCTCTGCAATTATTCTTCTTATCACTATTTTTTAAGTATATTTGGGAAACCTACGGTTTGGGTTTTGTCAAACTTCGACGTAATCTCACTTCAGCAGACAGTGCAACCCTTATCAGTGTCTATACTAGATTTGCACTTTGTAAAGACTGCACGCGAGCATTGGTTTGTACTTTAACTCAAAAAATACGGGAGAATTTCTGAAGCTTACATTCTGAAACCACTGGTCTTTTCACTGAAAGCTTAGCGAACCCTGAAAAATGAAATTTACAGAATATACCATTAATAATGCGTTCGCAATTTAGCAACTGCAAGCGCATGCGCTCTCAAACTCCTGCGGAAATGCTGGCAGATCAAAGTGCTGCGGAAACCTTATGAGCCTTATTGCATTTTCGCAGCGCTTAATGGGAAGTGCTGCGGAAGTTCCGGTTTACGATCGCTCTGACGTCATTTTCCTGCAGAAACCCCGCATTTTGGAGCGTGCACTTTCCCAATGGTTGAGAAAGCGCTGCGGAAACGCTGCAAATTCTGCTTGTCCTGCGGAAATTCCGATGAATTGTCTGAGAAGAAGGGTCTAATACTAGAGGGTGATAGATTAACAAAAAAGGAAAGTGGGTTGAACTGGCTCGATAGGCTTATTCATCCTTCTCCGAAATTGCACACATCTAGAGTACGTTTAACCTAAGAGTTTCTGAATGCGACAGAAGTTTCCTCAGAAATTTTATTCAAGCACATGAGAGAAATGCTGTTTCCATAGTCTTTCATAAAAACAAGGAAACATGCTGTGCTGAAGGGCTATCAAGGTTTTCCTCGGTTTTTATGGCTAACCCCTGAATTGTCCAGCAAATGCAAGCTAGGCTCGGGTAACGAGCAATAATAATAATAGGTATAACTTCTTGTGAGAATGTTTGAGTGTCTTTCTTTTTGTGAGTTTATGAAGACTTGAAAGAGAAACTTTGCTTTATAAGACAATTCAAAGGCTTTTGAATACTACAATTTACTAACTCGCCGGAAAAGGCAAGATGAAAATAAAGTTGTGGATACTCTCCTTTTACCGCTCTCCTCGTTTTCCTCACGTTTATCTTGCCTGCGCTTCAGTCTTCAAATTTCATTCTTGAGGAGTTTAACATTCCATTATTGTTGAACTTTGATTATGCGATGTTGTCACTTAACTCATTTTGAATGGAGTGGTTCTGTGAGTCGGGTACAATTTTGAGCGACTTGTTGCTGGAAAAGCAAGACTTTTTTGGAAAAAAAAATTGGAGAAGCAGATGCTTAGCCAGAAAGAAAAAGGGCAAACACCGTTAGATTGATCTATCTGTATGCCTTTGCATCTTTTGAAAGAAAACTACAACTAAAAGTTCCTAAAATTGTTGGCTTTTAGCATGGCAACAGTAGCCTTTTTAAAAGTCCAGTACCTTTTTTTCGAAAATGTTTGGGAATGCCTTTATGAAAACAACGGTTAAAAAGAAGAAGCTGTTTTGAAGCAACCAATTTCCTTCATCACTCTTAATTTAACATATACGGCGCTTTAAATGCGAACTTTGAAACGACTTAATTACACAGGTTGATGTTGAAGATCATGATGATCTATACTTGCACAAAATAAAAAAAAAATGAATATTTATTCAGGTATCATCACGCTTTCACTGGCTATTACGCTATCGTAAACTATCATGAGGATAACGCGCACATGTTTTGGATTGTTTGGATGAACTACGGTATTCATGCTGCTATGTACAGGTAAGCAGATCTCTCATAGCGATATAAATAATTTGATTTTGTGTAAAAAGCTAGTGCTAAGTAAAAGGCTTAAAAATGCCTCAGTAGTCCAGTCTGTAATTTGGAAGAAAGTGAAGGATGTCGCGTAAGAAATGATTGTTTACAGTTACTACTGCCTTCGATCACTCAAGGTCAAAGTTCCACCGCAGATTGCTCAACTCATAACTACTTCACAAATGATTCAGGTATAGAATTTGTCGAGAAAATTTGTCAAAAATTCGCCTTACAAAATTTTTTCGAATATTTAGCACACACAACCCAAATGCTCTAATCCCACTAGTTCTTTGATTGAGAGAAAAATTCGTCGTTTTTAGTTTGATATAAAGACGAAATCTCCGTTTTTTTTTTGAATGTGTCAAATTACATATTCATGCAACATATGGACATTTTGCAGTTGTGTAGGTATATTTTTTTTCAAACCAATGGGCTTAGGGACTCCTCGATCCCCCTGAAAATAAATTGAAATTCAAAATTTACAATTTGACTAACTTCCACAACCTTTTGATTAGGAAAAGGGATTCAAGGAAGGGTAGACAAGTCTTCAATCTGATTTCCGTCCAGTCTGGTAAGATCAAAGCGTGAAATATAATTTTGTTTTTCTTATTACTTGTCTAAATGTTCAAAATAGCAGTTTAGCGTTGCTATTTCAAATTAAAGGTCGTTTCTTATTTTCACTTGATTATTTCAGTTTATCATTGGCATGGCTGCCCAAATACATGTCAGCTATTTGGCGCTAACCACTCGCCATAATTATGCAGTCACCTTCAGAGGGTGTTTCATTGGCTTCTTCATGCTGTTCACATATCTTCTCTTGTGGATACGGTAAGAATTACTCAATCAACTCACAGTCAACGATTTTTACCATCTAATCTGATTCATTGCAGGTTCTACAACGAAAGTTATTATAACAAAGGTGGTAAGAAGTACAATGCAGCAAAAACTGTTGAAAACACCAAAAAAGACGAGTGAATCTCAAGCACATTATTGCGTAATAAATAATTACATCTGAGCTTTATACAGTAGATAACATTTATGAAAAAAATTCAAAGAGGAGCCTCGGTGCATTGGACTGAGTTCACTAATCGTTCTCGTCGATAATACCATGCACCGTTTATACATTCCAAAAGTGCTTCGGTTATCTAAATATGGTGATCTACGTCTTGTAGAAATCTGGGGTAACATTTTTTATGAGTTAGAAAACTGAGTTATTTGAGTTTTCCCGTCAACTGCATCACCACCACTAATGAATTAGACATACCTGTCCCATATTTTGGTTCTCTGCAGGACCTCCTTCTATGACGTTGAATTCCATGAAAGAAAAGTATCCCGTTTGAGCGGTACATATCGCCGTAAGTCGCAAACATCCCGAATCTGGATCCGGCGTTTCTAGCCTGAGAAATTTCTTGAACCCAAGTTTTTCACAAAAAAACCATTCTCTACCTGAAGCTCGAGTCGATTCTGCCTGGGTCACCATTGCCTTCGTCAAAGGAAACTTGTGAAGCTTGGCAGGTTTGGCAGGCTACTGAAATTCAATAATTATAATACATGGTATGCTTCATAGAAAAAAATCTGTGAGAAAAATGAAAGGCAGCATAGGGAAGAAGAAGTGTTTGCAGAATTTTAATTGTAAAGAATAACACGTTACAACGTTATAGAAAATATACTAGATAAAGACGTTGTTTGACTTTTTGTTACTAATCGCTAATCTCTACATTCTTAGACTTTCCTCTTGGTTTGAACGACTCTATTGATTTTATAATTGCAAGATAAGAAAGGAAGTGAATAGAGTGACTACATACCCTTTAATTCAACTAACTAGCGGCTAGAAGGCGGGGCTTCGTGACCTGTTTAAGGCTAGGTAATAATCAGAGAGCAAGCGCGCAGGAGAGACGCAGAGGTGCGTCGCGTCGCGGGCGGCCTCAATTGGGTCACAGTCGCCTCCAAAAGCCAAGCCATTTGATACCACGATGACTGCAGAAAAGTTAAAGTAAACTGCTTCCTTCTACATGAACAATGACATCATTATAATTGAAAGTTTCTCAGAAAATCATTCAAGTGAAGGGCTAATCATTGTTTACTTGTCGACCATAGAAAATAGCTGTGGTAGGGTTGGTTTTTTTTTAAATTTTTTCAATAGCTAGGGTTAAGTAACCAACTGGGTCCTAGAAGTTTCAAAGCAAAGTCTTTGGAGTTTGAAGCATTTTCAAGACAGTTAGGCTCCTAATATTTGACATGGAGATGGCTGGCGGTCCCAAACATATTTCTTGAAACAAGGAAGTGGGGAGGAGCGCCAGAGAATTCACCCGATGAGAAAAGTCCAATCTTTTCAGGGCACTCTAAATCTCCGAGTTCTAACAAACTTGTAGCGTTATAGTTGTATTGCAAGAAAAGGGAATTTGCTGAAATAAACGCATAGCCTGGTTGAATTAGAGCAAAGTTTGAAATCAATTTTCTACAAGCGAGTATGAGCCGATTTAATAAGTTTGTAACTCATGTAAGTCACTTTTGATAACCCATTTAGTGGGGGGGGGGAGACTGTTGGATGGGTCAGAGTAAATTTATGGGCCCCGTAGGTTGAGCAGTCCAGATAAGGCTCTCAGTTCTCATATGAGAAATCTCAAAAAATGAAACATACCAACACATGGCGATTGAAGAGGAAATGAATATTACTAGACGCGTTTTCAAAGGCTGGTTCCAAATTTGACTTTCTCTTTTGCGGAACAATTTCTCGAAAGAAGTTATGAGCGTTTGAAAGTCATTTGTGAAGCTTTAAGCGGTCTAGAGTTAACGAAAAACTGTACAAAAGCACCTGAAAGTGGGTAATAATTTGTAATGGAGTACTAGTGATCAGCAATCTATAGGCGCCGTAAAACCTAATTTCCCGCGCCGTGCCTTGAACACCAGCGTAAGCAAGCGGTCGTCGCGCACGACTGTCGGTGTTCACTGAATTCCAAGAATTCTTCTTTCAAATCTCATGTTGTTCTCGTCAATGCAAGGTATATCTTGACAAAAGCTCCCTTCAAAAGTTCAAAAAAATATGTGTGAAAAGGGTGCGCGCTCATTGTCGCTCGCAAAAAGCCTGTAGCGCTTCGGGACCAAACATTTCCAGCCGCGCCGCGTGTTGGTGTTCAATGCGACGCGTAGGCAATTGGATTTTACGGGGCGTGTACATACATGTGCTACTGGAAGAGCGTTCGCTTCGGGACTCGCCGCCGTTTCCCGCTATTGGAAGATTTTTGAATTGAGCTAACGATTCTTTATATATTAGATGAATAGCTAAGAATGAAACATAGCCAATGGAAATCCACATATGTGAAGTCACTTAAAGCTTGACGAATTCGGGAATTTGCCTCATAACTTCTTTCGGAGTGTTGTTCCGCAAAAAGGAAAGCAGATTTGGAATCGACGTTTGAAGATATGTCTAGTGATAAACTCTCTTAGTTGGTATCTTCCCATGCTTCTGAAGTTTTTAAAGATTTCGAAATAATTTCTAAATAAATCTTACGGAGTGCGAGCGTCGTCGTCGTCGTAGGTCTTGTTGTTGTTGTCCTTGGCGCAGTTGTCGTGACAGAGGCTACGGTAGTCGTTCGAGGACCTGTGCCCGGATCGGTGCGAACACATGTGAGAGTGATAGGTAGGGCACTGAGAACTGCGAAAAAGTGAGGTACTGGTCTCATCTGAAAAATCTAAGAAATTGCATAAAATGCGAATGTGGAAGTTAGCCAAGTAGTCGAGGTTTACTGTATGAAACATCTGCTTGGTATTCGTTATGGGTAATGCTCAAAGCAAAAATCTAACAATAAGAGGATCTGAGGCTTGAAATCGAGTAGAAACTTGATCATGATTTGGTTTTTCAGTTGAAGCCGGAGCTGTTTTGAAATGTTCGCAGCCCTCATTAAGTCAAAAGCATAAGACCACATATGAATTGTTAGTTTATTTGGTTTTCAAGCCACCCTTTAAAAAATCTGAAAAATGACAAAAATAATGTTACGAAGTTATGAAATATTTGACATATTCACTAGAACTCTAGAATAATATTGACTTCATTCTTGTGATAGCACGAAGTTCTGATTGTGTTGCTACTGGTCTCTTCCCGAGCTTTAAAAATCGCTTGTTTTGTTCCTCTGATCTCACTTCCTGTTCAAATGAGTATCTATTATCTTTATTTTCCTCTACTTTTACTTATTAAGGCTGATTTTTATTTGTCCTCGAGACGACAACAACATCAGCATCAGTCTTGAGAAAGTTTATTCTAGCTTTTTAAGGAGATCATTGAGTTCGAAACTTTTTATTGTATCTCATGAAGTCGATGAAGATGTCACTTGTCACGCAACATTTCAAGTTTTACACCGAATTCTTTTTTGAGAGCGATAAATTAAAATTTATTTTTCATCAAAAATTGCTAGCCATGGAGTAGATATATAGGGGTTGGACATGAACTAAGTTTGAATGAATTTGTGGATAAAAAATGTGCATAAATGTTTGCGAATGGAAACTATTGATATTAATAACATTAGGCAAAAATTGTCAGTAAAGTATTTTTTTATAATTCTAAGCTAGACAAAAAGCTGAGCAGCTAATAAATGATGCTCCAAAAGAAGTTTCACCTTCGAACAAAGAAGTGGTTAACGTCTTGAACGAAAACAGGTGTGCGGGACGAGTTTACAGATGACCGAACTAGATGTTCTCAAAGGGTGATCTCGAGTTCGCGCGAAGTGCGTTAAGTGCATAAAGACTTTGTCTGCCTCATTGCCTACGATTTCTGGTGATCACTCGTTCTGTGGAATGTATGCGTTTTCATTAGTCGAAATAATTGACGGACTTGAAATTTATCACCGAAAAGGATGTTCGGCGAAAGGAACAAACTTCTGTCTCATATATGGAATAATAGGAACCACACAGTTTTTGTTAGAGTTCTTACAGTATCCATTTGCATCAAAAAGTTCTTAAAAAGGCACTCATCTTGGGGTTGATTCATAAATTTGTCTACATTTCGCTCGAAGCGATTTGACATAATGCTGGAACTAGCTGTTGTAAAACATTATGCAACTTTTTCGACTCTGTTGTAAAACATTATACAACTTTTTCGACTATCACCGGAAATCTAATGGGGAATAATATCTCTGATTCTGAAGTGACGTGGCTATGGATGAACAACAAAAAATGTGAATTACTCCTTAAGGGCCCGACATATTGCACGTGATTTCAGATTCAGACGCGATTTGGCAATTCGCCAGAAGTCCTCTGATCCAACATTAGCAAACTGTTCATGCATAGTGTGTATAACTTACGTTGATAAAATGCACTATCTTCTGTACATTCAAAATGTGCTTACGGTGAGTTATGGACAGTTGGAATAATGCGTAAAATCACGTGATCACGTCATAAATCACGTCGCGATTGAAATCGCGTGAAGTATGCCCGGCCCCATACTTTATTAAGCCTAAAACACCAAAGTATGGTGTAAAAAGATTTGGTAAAAATGTTTTTGAATTCATTGTGGTGTTTAGATCAAGTTGTGTGAGTTTGTTCCCATTCACAGCAAACATAGTTGAGCTTGTACAGGGCTCGGCAAGAACTGGCACCAGGAAATTTTCAAAACCAAGTCCCTGACTTTCACTAAGTTTTACGAAGTCCCCTTTAACCCTACTAAAAGTAAAAATACCTCAAAGAACGAAACGTCGACTAAAAGAGAGTCGTAGATTTTGTGGTCTTTTTGGCCACAAGATTTTCCCTCTGCTTTTGGTCCCAAAACGATGTCCAGCTTGCTCCGTGCCAGCTGGTGCCAGACTTTGAGCTTGTACATTCCCAGCGAACAAACGTTCTAGAGCGGTTTTCCGAAGAATAAACCTTGACAGAAATCATTTTGAATCCTCTTAGAACCTAATGACTGTCGACTCTTCAAAGGAATTGAGGGTTTCTTGTCATAAGAGAAACACATAAGCCTTAGCTATCTTTTGGATAGATAGAAGCTCAAGATTGAATATTTCTTTCTTGTGGAGAATATCCTTGATTAACATTGGTGTTGACGTGAACTATCACAGAACTTTTTGTTTTAGCGAACATTCCGGTTTATTTGAACCCTCCAGTAACACCCTTGAAATATAATGGTTACCTTGAGACTTCGAAATAGAATTCATTAAATATCAATGTTTAGATGACTCGGTGTACATACTGATGTGCAAGTCTTATTAGATATAAAACCGAAATCCTAAAAATATCTTCTTATTTTCAACTTTTTCGTAATTGCAAGAGATTGTTTGAGGCTGAAAGAAATATGAAGAAGAAAGACGCCTGTAAGCGATATAGAATAGAATAATAAGTAGAAGTAGAAACAGACTACTTCTGTGTCCCTTCTTTTGTCTGTTCTTCTGTGTTCGAGAGAGTTCTCAATGTTTGATAGCAATATTTATTTGTCCACATAGTATATAAGGGTATACATAAATGTACAAAAAATATTGAAATTACAATAAATAATGTTTGTACAGTAATGGCAGAACAATCTTTAGGGCGCTGCTTCTATACACTGTACTGAATTCACTTGTCTAGGGATAGTACGGTAGTACCAAGCACCATCCCTGCATTCTAGCAATGCTTCAACAACCTGTAAAAAATTCTCATTAGGTAAATATTCAAATTTGTTGAATTTGAAAACACTGGCTATATTTGAAAAAACATTATGCATGGGAAGTGGTGCATTTTCGAAAAGAATTGGTTGATTTTCCCTACCTGAATGGGAGGAAAAGTAAGTGTAAAATCAAAAGAAACCGGAATCCTCAAATGTATTTTACATACTCGCAGCCCCAAGTCTATAAGGAAAAGTAAACTACTCAGTCTACCTGCACAACATCCAAATTTTCTTCCGGACCCCCTTCATTGATGTTAAACTCCATGAAACCGAAGAAGCCAGGTTGAGCGGCGCAGATAGCTGTCAGTCGAAGACAACCAGTTGCTGGATCAGGAGCTTCCACCCTAAAAAATGAATTTGGGTCAATAGGTTATCATCCCAAAATCATAATCGGAAACAAAAGGGGGGGGGAGGAGGAGAGGGTATAACCTACCTAGAGCTTGAGTCTATGCTCGTAGGATCTCCATTAGCTTTGTCGAAGGAAACTTGTTCGACGGTGCACGTCTGGCAAGCGGCTGAATATGCAATTTTTCAGCAATATTTTGAAAAAAAGATTCTGTACCTACCTATAGGGGCTCGGACAGTTGTGGTTGACGTCCTTGGCGCAGTTGAGGAGGTGGTTCTGATACCCGGAGAGGCGGTAGTCGTTCGTGGAATTGACGATCCGGGAGATGTAGCCGCACAGGCATATGATAAATGTAATTCGACTAGAATTAGAAGCACCACAGATATCTGTACCATCTAGAAAAAAACTGATTATTGATTACTTACTAGAAATTTTTGGAATTAATTTTCGCTCATTAGAGTGTCTTTGGAACAGTAATAATGCTGCTTTTCAAAAGTCAAGAATAATTTTGAAAATTCCTAAAGTTTTCCGCCTTAAGCCTTTTTTTGAAGGATTTTAAAAGTAAACCTGTTAAACAATTGGGATAGTATTACTGCATCAGACAAGTAACCAATGCTTTACGCTGTGGTTCAAAACAAGCCAAAATCGGCGACGGAATTTTAATGGCGAAGATAAGGAAAAGAGCGCGAAGAGAGTCTTCGCAATAATCTTGAGAAACTGTGAAGTGCACTAATTCCATCACACAATGCTTCACTCACTTTCACTTCGACCAAGGTCCATCGTAGACGCTACCATTAGCGAAAGTGGTCAGTGGTCAAATGAGTCTATCACTCGATCATAATTGAACTGGATTTGACGCTGTCCAGGAGTATTCTGTGAAATCCATCCTATCTATACTTCCGCAATTTTTGACCGTGTGCCAAATGCGTTGAATAGGGGGAAGGTTGAAAATCAAGATCGTCATCGAGTAGCTTTTTATTTGTCAGTTTCTTAGAATCCTTTTCAAAGTTCATACCGTAATCCTACCGTAGTAAAGAGTTATTGATGATTCGGTCTATGCAGTAAATCTAAGCTGAACCTCGCTCTACAGAATGATACTCCAAGTTTGGCGGAAGACATGAAGGCGAGAGCGTTATTAACGATCAAACAGTGTTCACTTCTTTTGGAAGACATTGTCCGTAGAATGTCATTTGTAGAGTTTCAGGCCAGTCTATCTATGAATTTGAGCTTATATTTCTCGGTGGTTTTTTTCGTGTATATAGTAGCTGATCAGAAAAACGTATCATGTGCCAAAATTTGAATTTTTGGCGGAAAAGTTTCAGTGGAATTCTTGTTCTGAGTGCAATTATCAAAATTTTTATAAATCTTTAAGAGATGAAGCTAGAAGATTGTTTTAAGCGCCATCAAACGAATCAATAAAACAGCCTCAGTAGTAAGCTAACTATTCTTGGAGATGAAAGTTTGATGGCCGTTGAAACATGGGTTTGCCGTGAAAACAAATGCGCTTTAGTTGCATCAAACTAATAATTTGGAAATTTTCATCTTTACCTATTTTTTATAGCAAAAGGTAACCGACAGCTTCACATCATTTTTCAATGAGACTAAACCGTCTGAATGTACTCTGGAAAATACTTTTTTCATTGTTGCTAAGTGCAGATGCAAAATTTTTCAAAAAAATTCTTGTCCTACAAGTTTCCTCTGTCCAATTATGGCTTGAACTCCTTCGACGGATCGCTCGAAAGTTCATAAATGAATCGCATACTTTTTTACAAGATATGTGATTAAATTGCAATGGAAACATAAGCCTTTGAAAAAGGTTGAAAAGCTGCATCTAACGGTCCGAAGTCTTTTAGAATTTTTGCAGTGTAGGAAGCACTTGCTCAAAACATAATAACATTCGAAAGGAACTGTATTAATCCTTCATCCAGACTCATTTACTTAAAAGAAGGTATTGCTGCTTCTTACTTGTATCAGGTATTCTCTATCCTTGCATCCTTATATTCTGTATCCATGCAAGCCTTACCGTTGGTTAGACTATTAATAATGTGCATAGGTGCGTCTACTAGATCTTTTCGAGGCTAGAAGTCAAGAAACAAAATAGACTTAGAGCACGAAAATTTTTTTTCCGCTTTTTTTGCAGTAGATGCCATAGTTTCGTATGATTAAGGGCCGCATGCACTAACATCCCCGCTGGGAGGAGATCGCAGCTTAAAATAAAGCTCTATATTTCGAAACTCCAGATACCTGGATTTCACGTTGTGTACCTATCCGTAAGTATTCCTACTACCCTTCACTATGAACATGTTGGAGAGGAGCGAGAAGCTGTACGAACCACATTTTCCAGCTTTTGTATGATCCCTGATGATCCCCGGCGCTTTTCTTTAAAGTCATTTTTCTTTCTCCGAAGTTAACGAAAAACCTCCAAAGTTGTGCAGATTATCCAACTCGACAGTGTTAAGCATGTTCGTGATAAGAACAAATGATGCTTTGAAGTCATGAAATTTTCGCTGATCCACAGGTCGAAATCTGGTTTACCAAATATTCGACTTTTCAAAAACTCATTTGTTCTCATCAGCAACATGCTTAGCACTGATGTGTTAGATGTTCAGTACAACTTTGGATGGTTTTCGTTAACTTCGGAGAAAGAAAAATAACTCTAAAGAAAATCGCCGGGGATCATCAGGGATCATACTAAAGCTAGAAATGCGGTTCGTACAGCTTCTCGCTGTTCATAGTGAAGGGTAGTAGGAATACTTACGGATAGGTACACAACGTGAAATCCAGGTATCTGGAGTTTCAAAATATAAAGCTTTCTTTTGAGCTGCGATCCCCTCCCCAGCGGGGAGAGTGCATGCGGCCCTAAGGCACGTACAGGGTGGCCGGTAGGTATGGGCGTTACAACTTCTAACGTGTCTTCTAATGTGGATATCTATCATGGCAGTTAATATGCATGTAACTTATGGACATCTTCTATATTACTACTAGGTTGTAAAGCAAGTTCCCAGGCACTTGCGAAAATTTTTTTCAAATCGTTGTAACTACAAGCAGATTGATTCTTTTTTGAAGCTACAAACTTCATTGCAAAGACAATTTTGTCTATAGCATATATTTGTCTTACTGACTTCTCAGCATCTCACTGCAGTCCACCAGCAGGCGCAGAAGAAAAAAAAGATGTCGCGAAAAGTAGCCTATTTGTGCAGCATTATCTCAGGTATGATGAGAGCTGGAGAACCAAGATGCTGTAGTTATATAGAGGACTGCTGGGGCTGTTATGGGGACCATTCATGTTTTTGAAGGACCGCCTGCAGAGAAATTTCCCCCAGAAAGTTTAAAAAATCGACCATTTTTCGCTAAAAATGGACCATTTTTTGAGTAAGCGACTTTGAAGTCTTGTCATTCTGCATAGGGTTCACCAAATCTTTGATTACTGCAAACATTGTTGGGGTAATGCCTTATACATCTTTTGGACCCATCATCCAGGCGTGGCTATCCCTGCAGAAGCGACGCCAGCTGCGAAGAGAGTTGCAGTCAGAGGCAAGTTCGACAGCTTAAGAATTCTGAGCACAAATTGCAAGACTCGAGCACACCGGCGGGTCAGAAGTTAACAGGCTTCTCAATCAAATCACCCTTAATTTGGACGAAATTCTTTGAATTGCACAAAAAATGGCCATAGGAAGAAAAATTGTGAAATTTTTGTGGTTGGAAAGATTTCTCTTCTTGACGTGCAGATCAAACACGTCTTGGCATCGATAAAAGTCAGAAGGCTTGTTGGAAACTTCAGGCTTCCCTCTACCGAGTATACAAAACTTGGCTCAAAGTCCGACCAAGCGCCGAAAAAATGCGTTTGAAAATGAAGTTTTAAAAAGTGCCCGGGAACTTTCTTTACAACCTAATATATACGAGTATTGCGCGATTGCTTTCATTTGAAAGGAGTTGCAGCGCGATCAGTCAGCAGCACCACTTTCACAGTACCGCATTTTATATTTAAGAAAAGTAATTACCGCTGTTAAGGCACTGTGTTACTCCTTGGACGATGCTCTACGAGACCTCATGCCTTGAAAATTATTTGATTCGCAAAGGGATTATCGCCCAAGGCTCGCAACGGGTACATTCTTCACGCAGCATTTTCTGACGCATTAGCTGGCAGTAATACCACAAAACTTCTTCTTTCAAGTAAAATTTTGCAATGAAAAATGTGTCGACCACCTGTCGACCATCTAAGATCTTCATTAGACTACTTTCAAGGGTTCAAAGAATACAACTATACATGTAAAATAAGCACGCGATTTTGTTTGTCATTTCGACCATTTACCTTCTCAATTTACAGCTGTGAAAAAATATAAACCGTGCACTGAATTCTTATGCGCGTATACTAAGTAAGATAGAGGTTGTAAAATTCTTCTAGGCTAAGATAATTTTCAAATTAATTTTCACTCAGTGTTCCTAGAATTGCTTCAAACTTCAGGCCAATTACTATTTACAAGGATATCTGGTACATATTTTTTATGGAGCATGCTTTGCTCTATTAGTGCCAAGTGCAGTACGCTTTTAGAAAATCAGTGGAGCACTCAGATCATGTTAGCAATGGTCAAGTTACGGGATTAACGCCGGCTCCGGGAAGCACTTCAAATAACAGATGGGTAGAGCGCACTCAACAGGACAAACATCTCTTCTCAGCAATTTTGCAAAATCGTTTTTGAGAGCATTGATATTTATTGATAAGCGTTTAGAAACAGTGGCTCGGCAAATCTTTGACCTAAAATTTTTCTGTTTACCTAAGGTATTCTGCCTTAGAAAACATCAAAATGAGGAAAACCACCATTTTCCAAGGCCCTACTTTGAATTCGGACAAGAGGATCAGATCTCACCAAGATTCGAAACGCAGAGTCGTTGCGGAGCGGTTTGTCCGACAGTGGTAATCGCGAGCTCGTCCGAACGCATGCAAGAATGGCTTGTGCGACGCGGTGTGGGACAGTTATCTTGACGAGGGCAGCATGCTGTGAGCTCGGACTTGCTCTGATTTCACTTGGGATATTAACAATCCACCGTATTAAGTTTCCGGTTCGGTTTTGCCAAGTCACCGCCTCCGATAACTGACTGCACTCAAATCTTCAAATTTTCTAGCTTCGATGCATTCAATGTTTGATTTTGTTGAGCTCTAACCGGGCGATAATTTTAAGTTGGATTCGATTTGAAAATGTAGATTTTGAGGTAACACATTAAGTCATAGAGCTCTATGCCAAATCAAGAAGTCTGAGGGAGTAAAGTAGCCTTAGAAAACTGAAATGGCAAGTGTAAAGCACTGGGAAAATTTGACTTGCAAACATAACCTGTGCAAAGAGAATTTTGGAGCTGCATCGCATACAAAAAATCACCGAGTATTGATACTGACGTT